GTTGGGGGTTTTTTGTTGTTTTTTTTTCATAGTACATGGCTAAAAAATAGACGCTAACAATAACAGTCAGAGTGTTAAAAGGAGGATGGATTATTTAGCACCTCGTAGCAATTGGGAAAAAAATCAAACACCAATGACTTCAGATAGTCCTTGTGTGCTTTGTTTCCTAACGTGTTAGCACACACACGTTGCTGAGTTTGGATCCTTACGTGGTCTTATATTTAAGGTGCAAGAGCACATATCAAACTTGGTTACGGAGCACTTCAACGATGACGTGGAGGTGGTGATGAGGGACCCCATCCTGTTTGGAGACTTCCGGATGGCTCTGCATGAAGAGGAAATGCGCATTTATGAAGACATCCAGGATTATGAGGCGGCCAAGGCTTTGTTCCAGGTGTGGGAGGGCTCACTTCTCTGGGGAGCCGAGCATTGCACGGGTGCCCAGAGGGTGGAGCTGGGAAGAAGACCTGTGCTCCTATCTCATGGTTCCGAATGTGAGCTCATGTCCGGTCCAGTGGTGCTCACTGCCTGAGGTGCATGGGAATGACCTGAGAATTTTTTAAACACACAGACCCCTAGGTCCACCCCCCTGAGAGTCCTTTCATCGAGCTGATGGAGGGCCCTGGGTTCCAGTACACAGTCAGGTCTGGGGACACTCTCCCGACTCTCTGATAGTCCTCCTCATCATGCATTAGGTGAGCCTTGCTATCAGCGTTGGCTCGCTGCCGACCAGTCACAAACCAGCAGGTGGAAGTCTTGGTGGTGAACGCTGAACAGGGTGTCCCATCAACCCAAATGACTTACTGATTTCAGTGACCACAGACACTGAGAAAAACCTCTCCTCCGTTCTTAAGCCCTCCTGGACAGAAGGAGAGAGTGTCTCTGGATACCCAGTGACCCTCTGAAATTCTTTCCCATTCAGGAAATCCTTGAGGAGTACAATGAAAGCAACATCAAGATGAACCTGGTTCTCTTTGACGACGCCCTGGAGCATCTGACGCGCGTGCACCGCATCATCCGGTTGGACAGCGGCCACGCCCTGCTGGTGGGCCTCGGCGGCTCTGGGAAGCAGTCTCTGGCCAGGCTGGCTGCCTTCACAGCCGGCTACGAGGTGAGGCCATCTCCCTTCCCAGAAGTAGGTTGGAGATGCCAGCTCCTGCAGTTGGTAGTTCATGCAAACATTGGAGCAGCCTGTAGCATCATAGCACGATGTTTCCACATAGTATAAAATGGGGTTTCTTTGTGTGTGTGGGGGACTCAATATTATTGTAACTGA